TTTTTACATTTGAGATTGTTAAATACGATTTAGAAGAAGCTGGTCGATCAAAGAAGTTGCGCATCAATGGTAATAAGTGGATGGTATTTATTCATTGTTTCCGTTTTATTCAACGTAATATATATATATATATATATATTATTTTTTGTGTTTCAGTTGACATTACAGACCATGAAGATATTTGGCAGCGAGATGTGGTCTCCTTATAGACTTAAGCTGCTTGCGGGAGCTCAGATAGCCTGGAGGTCACCCAACCTCGCGTTGCTACGAACCATGGTCTCCATGGTGCAGCGGCAGGCCACCCGTAGCTCCATAGCCGATCACTTTGGGACCAATCTGGCAGTGTCATTCCCACCAACTCATCCAGGGATTATGACTGCTCGGAGTCAGCAGGTGCACGAGGACCTATATTTCTTTCCCCGAAACAGGCCTTCCATGGACCGAACCTTAGAGGACTACTAACATCCTGGTAGTAACATCTTGATTCCCGATTAAGTACATGGGGTAGGGTAATCAGTCCTACGCCCGATCAGTGTGAGTTTCCTGACTGGTCTCACATACCCGTGGGGGGAGGGGAGACTTGGGCAGCTTGCCTTTCCCTGGTGGACGGTTACCCAAATCGAGTGGTCACCCATCCAAGTACTAACCACGGTCGACGTTGCTCAAGTTTGATCACCTATTGCAAACGCCTTAGCCCTTACGGCTACCCTAGCCCTTACGGCTACCCTAGCCCTTACGGCTATCCTAGCCCTCATAAATATATGTTTATATTTATTTACAACTTTTCCTTAGTCGACCTTTGAGTATTAAATTTAAACTTAACTATTTAATTGGGAATAAGGTCATTTATTAATTATTTAATAAACTATTGAATGTTCATTTCTCCTATGTTTATTGACGTTTCGATTTTCTTTTTATAAGTCAAAGATGGGATCCTCTTCAAAGCTAGAATTTTAAAAAATATAGCTTCGATCAGGCCAGGGACACACCGACAGTCTCAGCACCGTCCACTAGCACATATATTAAGCTACTCAATATATATATACAGTATAAGATATGGAGAAAAAACTTGATTTTTTCTTTTTTAATAAAATAAATACTTAATTCAATATATCTACTTTTTTTTATTTTTTATGAATTGTAATTCACGATCTATACATATTCTATGCGATTGATTCGAGGACAAATTCTGTTATGTGAGGATTCATCTTAGATACTTTACCGAATAAATACAATTTCAGAGTAACCATTACCACTATCCGGCGTTTCCAGACTTTTTATGATAAAATTAAACATTTTAGAATAGCTTTCGGTCTGACCTTTTTCATTCTAAAATATTTTTATTGGTGAAAATCCTTGAAAATACCTCTTTGGGGGGAGGAAGGTTAAGTCTGTGTCACGAGGCCATTAGTTCCAGCGGATTGAGATTCCAAACTAATTGCGCTCCAAATCCACCGGCGATAAATATATCTCAACCTACGTGCAATCGTTGAAGTGGGAAATAAAAATAAGTGATAATTTTTCCCGTGGGTCCAGTTTAAAAGGTGGACATTTAAGGAGATAAGAGGACAGTGGTGCAGTGTGAGGAGCGCACAGGTGTGAGCTGTTGACAGAGATAAGGTATCGGTGAACGGGGGCTTTGTGCCTACACACTGTGCTCTGCTCTGTCTCTCCCGAGGGGCGTTTCCTCCATCGTTAAATACCAACGTGTCTGTCTGTCAATATCGGCCAATCTCCGGATCAGCCTCGGAGATTGTTGGCTCAAGCCGGGTTTGATGTCTCCACTCTTGCAATGGATTCGACATTGCGCGGTACCTTTCTCGAGTACTTTGCAAATGTACTTGAAGCATTCAACTTTTCATCAATGACATGATTGGAATCGAAATAGGTTAAGGGATATTAACAACCGCTTTCTTAAATGTCTTTACTAGTCTAAGAAGTATATGGGAAAGATATTTTAAATTGCCTTTGATATCCTGATAAGATTTCGTTAATATGAAATTCTACAATATTGACTGAATCATTATGAAGATATAGGATAAAGACACATACTATTGACATATTACCAATTATTGACACTTGTAACTTTAAATTAAATTTGATAAAATATGCATGTAGGATTTCAAAATGACATCCTACATGATCCTAAACCCTTATTTTATCAAATTTAATTTACACGTGACAATAATAGTTAATATGTCAATAATTTTTGTTGCTTCGAAAATTCTTTAATTGAGATATATTACAATCTGTCACACTTAAGAACAATAGTAATAGTGATTAAAGAGTAGCTCATTCCTACTATGTACGATAAATAAAAGGCAAAATAATAATACTAAAAGTAAATGTTATAACCTAAAAGAAACTAAACTAAACAAAAAGAAATTAAGCTACTTTTTTTTTGGATCCTCCCCTTCCTTGCCGTTAAAGCTATACGGGGTTTTCCCGGGCCAGGGGGTGTGGGTGGGGATTTAAAAGACGCCTGGACGCGAACTCGTGACTATTTTTATAACACATTTGTCATATATCAGATAGTCGGGCAACGTCGGTGCTGTACACATCGCGTTAGCCCATTCGGCCACCCGTCCCTCCCCATGAAATTAAACTACTTAGAATATCTATCCAAATACAAACATGCTTCTATATAATTTCTACGAAATTCATTCACTCAAGATCTCCGAGTCAAGCCTTTTCTCCCACTCGTAGAAGGAAAAGCAGTACTCTAGAAGATCCCAACGCTTCGCACTCAGCTGCATTACTGGTTATGTCAATAATAGGTACATTTACTGCAGACCTCCTTAAAATGCAGACAAGAAGAAAAAAAGATAATTACAAGACCTTGAAACCTGTCAAAAAGAAAATAAGGTGCTATGAAAATAAAATCGAAATTCTACTCTAATTGTATTAACTGTATTGGGTGCTCCTTCCGCAATAGTGGCTGCACAATAAGTGAAAAACATATTTTTCTATAGACTGTAGCGAAAAATCGGAAGGAAAGTCGTTAGAGTGGATACACCAGATTTTATTTTCTCCTCTTCCTCGCGTTTTCGGCTTTACGGGAAAAGCCTCTCGCGTACTAGGGGCAAGGCCGAGAGATTAAAGCAAGAGTCAAAAAAGCTCCCTTGGCACCGGAATTCGAAGTCGTAATCTTCAGCAATGCATGTTTTCCGAACGCGTTAGCTCGCTCGGCCACCCCGTCCCATTTAGATTTAGTAAATAAGGCTGCTAAGAAATAAATTATAACCGAGACTCAGATTGAAATCGAACCCATAAAGTTCAGAAACGAAACCTGGGACGTACAGTTCAACGTGCTCCGCCAGCACGTCCTCAGTATGGAGTTAAGGCAAAAACATACGTAATCATTATAATATATATATTATTCAATATATATATATATATATATATATATATATATATATATATATATATATATATATATATATACATATATACATATTTATATAGATTATACTTTAATTTGCTTCGAAAAAATAACATAACAGTCACGTAATTACGATTTTGGGCTTTAGTAGCAAAGATTGAGGGTCCTCCCTTAACAAAATTTGAAGATGCGGTTGTATATTATAAACAATAAATAATATAATATTAATAATTAATTAAAAGTACTATAGATAATATAATTTCATATTGTAATAATTTCGTTCTTGAAATAAATTTAAAAATAGTAGCCCTCTCTTATCTTCTATTCTAAAAAATTAAATGTATCAAAGCAAGTAAAAAAAAATATAGCACGTGTAAAAATTGATTAAAATGTTGAGTAAAAATTAAATTTTCCAGGCTTTTATTGAAACTCTATACATATCAATTATTAAAAAAAATACGTCACATCTGGCTTTTAAATAATTCAAATACTTTCTGCAAAACCTTGTTTCTATAAAAGTTTGCATATTTACTTCTTTGAACCAATATAATATTAATATAAAATATTTTGACGTCATTATTACTATTCTATGCAATAATGTTGATACTTACTCAAAAAAATTGTTGATTAATATGCACATTCATGATTAAAGAGCTAAATGCAAGAACGTGTTATGGTACAAAAAGTTTTAGGTAACTTGAATTTAATGATTTTTATTCTTATTGCAGACTTATCACTTAATGTATAAAAATGCATCACAGTCATAAAACAGTAATAATTACACATTTTAAGTTGAGGTTTTTATTGTATAATTCTACCTTGCAGAGCTTTTTCGGTACTAAAAGTCTTTAAATTGTGTATCCAATATTATTTAATTATCTCTTACCAATATAATTATTTTTTGGTGATTCAGCCATAAAGGACAATTTATGATATAATACTTTTTTTTCAGTTAATATCATGCATATAATTAATTAATATGCCAGTTAGCGTTTCCCTCTATATGCTTTAAGTGGATTGACCATATTATATAGTACCCTTGAAAAATAATACAGTGGCTAGTATATATGTACGGTCTGCTTTTTAAATGCCCAAGGTAATCCTGTGGGATGTAACTCAGACAAATATCACATTAATTGTTCTATTTTTCATTTACTATTGGTTAAATATTTACCTAAATAACAAGCCATTGGTCGTAGGTTGATCGATTGTTACCAAGAACCAACTGGAGTATGTTATAATTACCCAATGATTTTTTCAACTTTGACGTCCAATAAAGATGCGACATGACCAACTGTTCCATTTCCGATGATAATGGATCACTGGACTGGTTTTGATTTAACCAAAGCTAAAGCCGATTTTGGTTAACTTAGGTCATCACATTTTTTATTTAGCATCCGTCAATGCACATCATATCTAAATTTTAGGATCTTTCCAGCATGAGTAAAAAGAGTTTTGGATTTCTTTAGGGTACGTATTACCAATACGGTAGCCATTGGTGTGTCTATTTCTTTTTCTCCTAGAAAGGGATGAATTTGTGGTAGGTTCATTCTTTAAACTTTTCTTCTTTTACTTTATTAAACAGTTACATTATTGAATTCTACATAAGTTAAAGAGGCTCAATATCAAAACATGTTTACTTTTTGATCCATTTATTATGTATTTTAAGAGGAATGAGTTTTATATTTGTTATCCAAACCAGGTAAATATTACATCTTGACGCTTTTTTGGGGGGTGGAGAGTCTTTTCAATAGTCTGAAATAATAATAAGTATTATAAATAATAATTGTAATATAAATCTAATAAGCCTAAAAAGTTACAATTTTTTTTTTTTTCGAAATCTCCAATCACAAGAGGCACCTACTAACAAAAATGAATATCTTCAAATTCTTTAATTTTCTTTTTCAAAAATAATTTTTGGTGAAGAAATTTTTATATATTTAAGGATCAGAAAGAATGAATGAAGAACTACAATATCCTAACCTCGTTGAAGTTTAAAAACCGAAACATTTGCAAAAAAAACTCTCTAGAACCACGAATTAATGATAAAAAAAGAGATATTCATTTTTGTTGGTAGATATACGTCACATATAAGCTACTACTAATTTTTAAAAATTTGGTATGTCATACTTTGTTTAATATTCTACAAAAATTTACGTACAAATATTTTTACATTTTTTTATTTTACTGATCATCCCAAACCAATATTCTCTTCGTTAGTGTTATAATGTTTATAACACTGTAATAATTAAGTTATTAACGATGAGGTCTAAAACATTGATAAATATCTTTCCCTATATTGACCGCTTATTATTGCATCCTTTCTTAATCAAGATGACTAGCCTATAGACATAGACAAGGGATATTAATTAAATTGTAATTTTTATAATAAAGAAAGATAATTATCAAAGTTGGATTTCCAAGAGATTTCATCAAAGACATTTAAATTACTCATTAGGACATCTAGCTTAAAACTACCTGCTAATTAGAAAATCTACACTAATTAGAAAATTTATTCTGCAAACTGCATAATTTTCTTTACCTTATGCATCTCTGTACCCCAGTTGTTGCCTAGAAGAATTCCAGTGAACAATGATATCCGTTCTTCACGTATAGGAGTGTCATCTAAAGAAAATATAAAAGTAAACAAAAATTGTCATAGAATTGGAATATATTTTAATTATTAATCAAGATTTAATACATTGTTCATATAGTCGGCACCATGTTAAAGAAACGAATGTGAAACGTTAGGTAAGTTAATATTCGTTACTTTAAAAATGTCGATTTGCAATAATATTGTCCCAAAGTAACGCTGTAAATGATCATATTATTGTTCATTATTTGTTAAATACTTACACAGACCTTTGAAAGTACACAATAGAATTTTTTTTTAGTCTGATTTTCTTTAAGGTTTAACTTCAACGGTTTAAACATTAGTGAGAAAAAACCTTGCCATGAAGAATATTTTTATTTATATATTTGTTTTGTTTTTTCGATGGTAAAATGGGCGTTAGTTCCACAATACAGAATTATCAATTAAAAAATACACAGTGCCCGTTTAGACATATTTAATTCTATTTATGATTTTTCCTAACAAATTGTATATAAAATCCTATACTAATGAAATTAATATATAAATTATTTTTTAGTTTATTTTAAACGAAAAACATCTAACAATAATAGTAATATTTTGATGGATAACAACCATTAAATCGAGATTTGAATTTTTATGACAAAAATAAATATACCTATAATGGAACGTAAACTAAATAAATATCCAGTTCCAATCATCCCTACAAATATCCTCGAAGGTTATAACGGCAGTGGCCTCGAGATCTTTTGTAAATATATGTCATTGGAATTCTGGCACTGGCCAGCTTCTCTACTCAAGTCACGAGCGTCTGTGGCTTTAGGGCTCTCTCTTAATCTCCACTGGACTCTAATGCTGGTGACGCGGCTAAGACAGAAGCGCTGGGATCTCTTAGAGCTTCGCCTTGCCCTCTACACGTGGGGAAAAGGGATGGACTCGGAGCCCCCATCGCTGATTGTAAATATTGTAATTAAGTATGACTGTTAGATTTGTTTTCGTATAATAATTTATTATCATCAATATTTATGTTTTTTTTTTTTCCTTAAGAATTTTCTGCATTATTTCACTTCAAGTTATATTTCTCTGTTTTTGTAACAGTTTTCATGTTTGTTATATATACATTATCTTTTATATATCTATTTGGATGAATTTAATTTTTTAATTTTATTATATTATATTGTAAATATGGTATGAATGTGCCTTACTGCTCTAATACTCAGTACCATTAAGTGTGATGAAATATATTATACCTCAATAAAAAGATTTAAAAAAATAAATAAATAAAACAGTATAACCATGTTCTATTTCCATTATCTTAGATACATTAACAAGCATATAACTTCAAAATTAATATTTTTTCATTTATGATCCTATATGTAATAATAATGCTTTTAAAAAGTTGAGAAAAAATGAAGTAGTAATAATAGAATAGTAATGTGAAAAGAAACTTGAGAATATCATATTGTGCTACAATATATTTTATTAGAAAGTCAATTTTTTTTATTATTGAAGAATTTCATCTAAATTAAAGGCATTCAATTTAATAACTCTATTAAAATATTATATAATTTAAAAATTTCAATGATTTTTGTTTATTAATAATTTATATATTACAATTTAAACAAAAGGACAAACGAAACTGTTATAAATAATATGATGTAATTTAATTCGAAACATGTTTTTTTTTTTAAATTAACGAAACTGAATTATCGATAAGGAAAATATATTTATTTATTTATTATTTACTTACCAAATAAATGTCTTATTAATACCATACTTTGTCTGTCAAACGTGGCTACAGAGCCAGCAATAAGGAAACAAATCACCAACAATACTTTCATGATGTTGAGCGATTCACTTCTGATTGTAGACTAGATTTGACTATCAACAATCCACACCTGGACAAATATTTATTTGTGTTAAGGTACAACGTAAACGTATTTACATTGATCATATTTCGTTTAAAATCAAATAAAGTTTTATTAAAGACATGATTATTTATGTTAAAAATATCAAAAGTGTAATTTTGAAACGACGTTGAAACATTCAAAAGTTCCTCACAACCCTTAAAAATTGCACTTCCTTTAAACTGCTCTAATTGCGATTGTACAAACATAGTGGGTATGTAGTAATTCTTTGTCGATGAAATTTTTTTTTTTTTTCTCGCTCTCTTCATAGTATCACATCATTTATGAAAATAATTATTCAATTTAATTTTATAGCCATAGGGCAGAACAAGGACAAAGCTAGTGAATATAAATATATATTCACAATATGAATATAAAGTGTGCGTTTTGTGAGTCAACCAATTGAAGTGTTTTTGGATATGGATTAAAATATTACAGAAGCTAAAGTTCGGTCCTGCATGCCTGGAAGTGACGGATATGTTCAGCATTTCATCCTCTTTGTAATGGCGTAGAATTCAAAATTAGATCTTAATTGCAACAAACAGGCAATTCTCTTAAAATACCCCTAAATTTTGAACTTTTGTATGGTTTCAAATTCCCCTATAACCTTAAATCGACCTGCCCCAGCTGGCAGATGAGCATTTTCTTAATATAGGAGTACTATCAGCCAGTAAGTTTCAAAATTTGCTTAAAATACGATTGCTTTTAAGGCCGTGGCTCCAGGTATATCCAGATAACAAGCTAAGTTTAAACATTAATGATATTTTCCCAATCCCTAAATAGTATTTCATACTTATCTATCAACCAAAAAAAAAGCAATAATATAAGGATAATTTTCATTTTATTGAAGGTGACGTTCAAATACCACTTTCATATGTATGTAAATAAGATGTAATAAAAAAAAGTCCTGTTTATCAAATGGTAGTATTTGTATTTTGGGTGTAACAGTACAACTCGAAAACCAAAGGTTGTAGAAAAAAATGAATGAGTATTTAAGTTGGATATATGCTTTGGAAAGTGTAAGCAGAAGTTTATCTTAATTAATTTATAATGGATAATGAATTAGGAGAAGCGAATAAAAATTCGGAAATTTTGTCATCCCCTTCCACCGTTTTTACCTTCCTCTAAACATTCAGGACATCGTTGGAACGGTGAAAACCGGTTTAACTATAAAAAAACAGAATCGAATGAAAATTTGAGAAAAATTAAGTACATGTACTAAATTCGAAAAACACTGTTTAGCAAAACTATATAAAAATCGCTCATTTCGGACAACTATTAACGAAGTTGTAGCTATTCAATTTCATATGTAAGAATACGGGTTCATATCCTGGTGTCAGAAAGGTGTGAATGAGAGAAAAAAAAGAAAACTAAGTGAAAGTAAAAAAATATGTTGCTCACATTACACATGCTTCTTTATTTCCTTTACTGTTGCATTGCTTTGGTTTCTCAAAGAAATCGTGCACAACCTTTTTTTTTTTTTTTAAGAATTTTCAGGAAAATAAATATAATTTAATTTTTTTTTTGTTTCTTAATGGACATATTTAAAGATATAAACACTTTTCGGAAATAGATGGTGAGTGGAAACACATGGTATTTTTTTTAATGAGTCAGAGCTGAAATTAAAGTGAAGTTTGGGAAAAGGGTTTATAACACAACACGCTGCAACGTTTTAGAAACAAAAATGTATTATAACGACGAAATATCCAAAAGCTATTAATTTAACTTTACCACCATCGGACCATGGAAGGCCATAAGGTAATTCCTAACCGTAATGTGTTTACTTTATCAGCAGCGATCGGTAATGGAGCTACGCCAAGTGGCCGACAGAGCGTCACCTGTAGCCCGGCTGGTGGTTCATGCTGGCTGGGTCATCCATTGAATATTATCTCCTCCCAACTGTTGGAAGGGATGGTGATGCCTATTAGTGAGCGGTGGTCAACCCTCCATCAGCTCCAATAATTATCTACCGCTATGGAAATGCAGAGTAACAAAGGCTGCCAGCATTGGTTACAACAATATTCGAGTCGATGTCTTGTTTCAAACTTTCCCCATCTTACCATTACACTAAACAAAAACTTTAAACTGCAACTCAAGTATATTTTGCGACCAAATTTCTGTTTGAAGCTTGATTCTTAAAGCCGTGATTCTTCAATAAATGTCTTCATTAACATAGATAGCGGGAATTTCCTCGAACTTCAATACACCGAAGACTCCCCCCCTCCCTACACTTGTTTCTATAGTTATTGAGCTGGGAGATAAAAAATGATATCTTCAATAAGGAGGGCGGGGTGGCCGAATGGGCTAACGCGTGTGCACTGCACCGCCGTTGCCCGGCAACCGGATATATGATTCTATGATATGAAAATAGTCACGAGTTCGAGTCCCGGTCCCAGAGGGGATTTTAAATTCCCCGCCCTCACCTTCTGGTCCGGGAAAATCTCGTATAGCCTAAACGGCGAGGTAGGGAAGAACAGGAAAAAAAAAAGATATCTTCAATAATCTCATCCATTTTTGGACGTATCTCTACCACGTTCATGTCCTCCAATTCATCTAGTTCATTAATAGTGTTGCCGAAACGCGAGACCGAGACGAGTCTTGGTCTTGCAAACTCAGTCTCGATCCATGGTCTTGGTCTTGCGCAAGAGTCTCGCAACAGTCATGCAGTTATTTATTAGCTTATTACTATAGAGATATAACTGTAAATGTTTTGATAGGACAAACCTAACTAAGCCCGAACGAAAAATTAGAGGAGTTAAAGGCAGAAGTATATTGGTCATACCAATTATTAACATATAGTAACTAACATTGTTAAGTTTTAGTTATTATTTTGCCTTAATTTTGATTTAAAAAATCGATTTTTTTTTACCAGTCCTGCTCTTGGTCTTGTATCAGTTAGGTGGCCTTGGTCATGGTCTTGCACTTTGCAATTTTGGGCAACACTATTGATTAAAAATCACTGTTCTCTTTATTAACGGTTCAAATTACCTCTTAAACATCATCCAAGATCTCCTGACAATGAACTATCTATCTTTCCAATATTTTTGCATCTTCACCCAGGAGGTTGCCGACTTTGTCTTTTATGCACAAAAAACTGATATTATGTTCTTTATGTTTATAAAGAATTTTTGGTTAAAGTTTTCCATGAAAATAAAGTATTAAACTGCGATTCAAGTGTGTTTGAGAAATAAAGTTCTTAATACATTTTCTTATTAATATAGTTGGATACATTCTCAAAAATCTCAATGCACGTAGAAGTCTAAAAAAATATATTACTTTTATGTGATTCGATGACACCATTCGATCTATAGGTGAAATAATCTTCCAAATTTATTTAATCAATTTTAATTTTAGAAATTAAAGAAAATGATAACTGACTACTAAACAAGGTTGAACAGGATGCAAGATCAAGAATATTTTATATCAATTGCATTGTGGATCTGTACAGAAGTTAGTTTTATTGTACTTAAGGTAATATAATAATGATACAAAAATGAGTTAAGACACACAGTCATGATTGAATTGAATCAATATAGGTGAGGGAAATGTAATCATACCAGTCAGGAAAATAAAATTAGTATTTTTATTAATAAATTTTGTTTTCATAACCCCTGTTTCATATGGTTTGTTTCTTTCTTATTTCTGCTGTTAGATGTTTCTTTTATACTGCCTGAGATACATTTTAAGGTCTTTCAAAGCATTTCTCAGTTTATTATCAGTTTTATTATTTGACTTTTAATCTGAAGGAAAAAAGCGAAGACACGTTATCATTTGCCACTACAACTCCCTTATTGATGACTGGATGATCTTGTGGTCGATGCATAACCTGTATTCTTCGGATACTGGGGCGGATCGAGGGAGGCGACAACCCTTGTCGTCGGAGAATAGAAAAAATAAATAAATCATTTATACATAACAGAAGAATTTATAGTTCGCATTGCAGATCGTAATAATGAAAAATTATAAGCTGAATATTTGAGTTTTGAGAGTAAATTCAAAACGATCAAATGGCATAAAATGCTTTCAGTTAAAATGTTACTATCAAACTTTTTCAGTTATTACCAATTACGCGCCCTAACTAAGATGGTTCCGAAAATTCTTATAGCCCATGGCTCATAAAGGCCATTTGTCACTGATGACATAAAATCTCTGGACTGGACAGATCAAAAGCGACCACACTTCATAATAACGTTTTGTGGCAAAATAATATTCCATTTACCCGTCTAAACATAAATGTACTAGCTTGCAGATATGACAGGCAAACAATCATTCATGCTCCCAGGCTCAAGTTATCTTATCCCATCTTATCCCCTCCACACATATGTTTTCCTACCAAAAGTAAAATTTCGGATAGTTGACAGTCTACGTTGAACGCGAGCCCGTCTATGAGTAATATTGAACAATGATAAATCAAGCATAAACACCGTAATAAATGCAATTAAAATCCTTAGACTATTAAATAAAATGTAGAAATGACTATAATTTTTATTATTATTTGTTTTTCTATTCTAAAGAGTTTCTGATCACCGAAGAACAAAAAATAAGTGACTCGCGGATGATGATGACTCCAGGGTTTTACGCCTTACAGAACAAACAGACAACATTATGTACATTTGGTTTTGCGATATTTTTAATATTTAAAAATCTTTTTAAGACTCAAAAACCATATATCCACCACTCTGTTTGGTCTAAAGTTTAGTAAATATTTATTTTCGGAGTTACTACTCTTGGAGTTTTATATATATATATATATTTACAACTTTTCCTTAATCGACCTTTGAGTATTAAATTTAAACTTAACTATTTAATTGGGAATAAGATCATTTAATTATTATTTAATAAACTATTGAATGTTCATTTCTTCTGTTTATTGACGTTTCGATCCCGGTATTTTCTTTTTATTAGTCAACCATCCTCTTCAAAGCTAGAACTACAAATAGCTCAATCGGTACACGC